AGCAACGGACTAATGAAGATGAAAATCTTCAGAAGGTTCAATTTCTGCAGGTGCAAACCAAGTATGCCAAGTTATTACCCATGTTTTCTCCTACATATAGAGAAATCCTGCGACAACAAGTTTAGCTCTTTCCAGAAGACATCAAAGAACTTATCCTTAAAGAAATTAAGTCAGATGGGCTTAAGGAATGGGTTAATATCCAAAATTACCTCAGAAACAACAGTCCACCCAAAGGAACCCGTTATAACTATACTTTCATAAGATTAATACAAATAGGCACTGACACATCAATAGCCATTTTCTTGTTAGATGTAGACCCTATTTTCTTTATTCCTTTTGAAATAATCAGAAAAACCCTTTTCTCTACCAAAACAACCATTTGTTATTTAAGCAAGCTGTTAGAACTAGGAATGATATACAATGTCCCTATACCTAAAGACATGCCCTTGGAATATCTAAATTCTTTATGTAATTTTCCCAACCGTTTAAACTAAGCCATTGCCTTCGAACATAAACTAACCCAAAATTTTATACCAGAAAGTCCAATTCTCCTTCAAATCCACAGTACTCCCCCAGAATAGGTAAAAGATGGAGCTATAATTTTGGGACAGCATCGAATTTACATTCATTCTGATCCAACTGAAGTCAAAATTCTTACCCAACATGTTGATTTTGTAAATAACTTTCGTAATGAGATAGAACCAACTACCTTTAACCATTTGGTGTACTATAAAGTCTATCGACAAATTAACCCAAGCTACAATCCTGGTTTCAGACTCTATGATCATAATATCAACATGGAAATTTTTGTTAAAGCAAGAATTCCTCATGTCATTAAGTCCCCTCCAGAGATTGAGATATCCCCAGAAGTTGAAGAAATAATAAATGAAGAAAATATATTGTTAGAACAGTTTGATCTTGCTTATAGAAATGAAGAAACCAGCTCACCAAACAGTACTGATGAATACCTGGCCCGCAGGCATGCCAGAGCAAGAGTTGACAGTCCAACAGATAGCACTACCGACAGAAATTTGTCCAATATGCAAGAATTCTAATGAAAAGCAAATTCTCCACAGTATACAGGAAAAAGCAGCTTCAACATTCAAGAAAAGTAGATTCTTAACAATGTACAGTTAAAAGCAGATCCACCGAAAACAGATTCTTAACAACAAAAGTAGATATAATTCTCCAGAAGAAGACATCAACAGTTCAGCCATAAATCATGTCATTTTATCTCTAAAGCATCTTGAATCTCAACCATCCATGCAGCATCTTCAAGCTCAATCGCCGATTCATTCCTCTCTTCTGCTATAAAATGAGCCTCTCTGCTCAAGTAAAGATCATCGAGTTTTAGAGCAATCAAGTTTAGAACCAACAAGCATTCCAGCCTCTAGTTTCCAGTGTGTTTTTGTTTTCTTTCAGTATATTTTCTTTGTAAAATATAGTGTGAGAGTATATCCATGTATAAACAGAGTGTATCCATGTATATATTTATTATGAAATAAATTATCCAGTTTGACTTATCCAAAACCTCATAATCCCAATTTAGTATTTTCAATACTTTCGAGCAAAAGACTTCTGTCGACAAAAAGATCTAATATATAGATTTTATTTAGCCAGACAGTATAGATTCTAGAATTTTCTTGAATTCAACCAGTACAAGCCGCCTTAGTATTAATTTAGCAATTTGTTCTGTGAGTTGACTCAAACTGTTGGCTTGTTGGCCCGTTCTTGCCGGTGTTCAAGCGTTTTTACAAGGCGTTATTAGAGCGTTATTAGGTTCGGCAGTCATTTCTGTGATTTAATTGTTAAATTTATTCTATGTTATTTTGCATGCTTCTATCTGATTAGATCCAACTCAATTTTGGTATCAGAGCCTATACTGTTTCGTTAAATTTAATTTATATATATGATTTTTTGTCTAAAGAAGTCTCTAAGTCCATATTAATTTATTGTGAAATTTTAATATTTTATATGTATTCAAGGATCTTTTGGGAAACTTATAGAACAATATAAGATAAAAGTATTGTTTTGGGTATTTAATAATAATATAGTTTGTTGTGTGATCTAAAGCATAAAATAAAGTTCATTTTAGAGAAATATTGTGGTGGTCAATCTATTAATTGAAACTTCAAGACCTTGGTTTTATTTTAGTGTAACATTTGGGCCTTAAGCCCATGTATTAGTAAAAATCCCTTATAATAAAATATTATTATATTTAACAATAACATCATGGGGTAAAATTATCCTTATAATTTTTTTAAAAAAATAAAATTACTTTAGGAAAAATTGTAATTTAATATATATCAAAGGTTCGTGTAACTTAAAGGTATCTATTTTACTTATCAAAAAGGATGGTAGGTGTGTGAATACCAATTAGAAAAAGAAAAAATAAAATAAAATAAAATGTGAGGGTTCGAGCTCCTATTGAAACAAATAAATATATGAGTTTCTTGTCAATGAAAAACATATATATATAAACAGGCAGGCATCTACAGTTGGGGCATCGGCCTCCACTGAAATTTTTGTTATTGCATTTTACATCTCTAAATTTGTACTTTTTTGCATTTATGTCCATCAAATTTTAAAATTTCGCCCATTGAAATTATAAATAATAATTATAAAAAAAAACCCTCTGTATAAATTTGCACCTCCTCATATGAATTTTTAGATCCTATATGAACCTCTATACAAAATGTAATTTTAGAAACTAAAAAGTTTAACTACATTTAAAAGTTTACTGAGCTAAAATTAATAACAGTCTTTTAAATTGTTACTACTAAACTGTATTTAAAAAATAAAAACGTTTTTAAGTAATTCAACAACGACTTCAAAGGAAGAAGATTAGTGAAGTTTTGTTAAATAAGAATTATAAGAGGAATAAGCAAAGCAAGGCTGGGCCAAAGTCTTTATTGTTTAAGAGCTCAAAAGACGATTTTTTGAGTACTTTTAAAATTGTACATCATTCTGCCCATAGAATGGGCCCAATAAAGATAAAGCCCAACTTTCAAGTTGCCATATCTGGTTCAGATTTACCGAAAAGCCCATTCGACTCTGCAACATATAAATGACCATGTGGGCTACCTGTTGGACGCAGCAGGCCCAATGCAAGTAGTTAAAACCTCAAAGGGACTTCTTTAGCATTTGCAAACTAGAGATTTTATAACTTTGTTTGCTTATTCAAGAAAAAGTTGTGTATTATCAATGGGCATTAGTTCAGATGCTATTGAAGTATCTTCTTCAAAAAAAAATGTTTGTTCGAGGGCAATATTAGGTGTGTGCGTGTTTGTTGGGCATTAGTTCAGGTGGTATTGAAGTATCTTCTTCAAAGAAAATGTTGAGTGTTCGAGGGCAATATTACACCTGTGCGCGTTTGTTTGAAATTTCGAAGAAAAAGAACAAGTTGTGTATTGATTTTGGGAATATTAAGGAAACAATGCAAGTGCTGCTACTTTCAACACTTCAAGATCAATCTCTCCATACTTCTGCATAGCTTCTTGGTCAGCTTTTTAACCTGTCTGTAGTTCCATTGGCAACAAACCAAATTTTCCTCTACAGCTTCTGAGTGCCTTATTTCAAATAGCAATCAGCAGAATCGGAGTTTGGTTGCACTGATAGCACTGGTTCTAGGAGGAAGAACAAGAGAAGGATAGAGAATCTCATGCACTGAACTAGCCCTTTTAACGAGAGAAGAATGGAAGTTTGGTTGCATTCTGAACAGAAGGCATAATACATAATAAATCATTTGATAAAAGACTTGAGAGCTTCAATTTGCATGTGAGTTTGTCTATCTATAATTAGAAGAATCGGAAGTCTCGTACATTGAACTAGCCATTCTAACGAGAGAGGAATCAGAGTTTAGTTGGAATGAGTATGATAAACCATTTGATAAGAGACTTGATTGTTTCAATTGACAACTTGAGTATTCATTCACCTTCTTCTTTATTCTTCACTCTCCCTCTGTGACCCATGGTCTAACCCCCCCCCCCCCCCCCCAAAAAAAATTCTATGAAGAATAATTAAATTTGCATTCCTAGGTTAATAACATTGTCACTTATATGTATATGACATCTATATCTATAAATATATCCATGTTCTGAAAGACACTCGCGCGTTGGCGTTTGACTAAAGCAGTCTCCATATAGAACCAAACTTCAGATATATACCTTGTTCTAGGACCACCCAAAGTATAATTATGATTAAACATAAAAATCCACAAAATTCAAAAATAATAAAAATTCAAAAGCCCCCACCAAAGCACACAGATCTTTTGGGTCCCACCAAACGAGCTGGTCACGTGGGGGGTGATGGTGGAATAACACAAGAAAGTGCCTGAGAAAATTGATTGAATGTCTTTGTTGTTTGAAAACATAAAAACATAACTCCCTATGTTGTCAGCAAATCTTCATTTGGACGACCACCCATTGTCCACCAATCAAACACAGATGCTTGTGTAATTATATATATATATAAACATACCCCAATCATTATTTTATACAGATTGACTAGTAGTAGTATTTTTGTTTCTTCTTTAATGTGATGCTTCTAACATCACTTTCTGAGTCATGAATGGCTGATACTGATGATACTGACAGGTTGGATACATGTGTCTGTTGGCTATAAATAGTATCTCAATCTCACAACATTGACATGTCAGTTGGCCACTTTCAGTCAAATTTATAAAAGAATGAATGAGTGAAGGACACATCAAGTACAGAGAAAGTAGAATCCTTCCAACCAAACAAACGTGCTTCCTGTGTCCTATGCAATAAAGTCTCTCCTTGTCCTTTTTTAACTCGCGTCCTTTTTATGACGTTTTAGGTCCACAGAATCAACATCTCCCAAACCTTTGTACCTTTCTGAATACACTAACATTTTTTCACAAAACAGAAGCTTCTATATTATCTTCAGATTTTTTTCCCTTTCTTTTTCTTTTCCCATGTATCTTTTGCCCCCAATGAAAATGCTCAACTCAATAAAACTACACATTATTCCGTCGATAACACAATCGGTCTCAAGTCTAAATAAATAAGGGTTACGTTAGGTAACTTGACAGACAACGTAAAACGTTGTCATCAACAATATAAACATATAACACATTGCAAGTGCAAAATTATACAAAAGGTTCACCAGAGGAATCCTAACAATATGTGTAAATAGTCATGGAAGCTTCTACCAAACTTGTATAGGGTCCTCCTAAAGCATGTTAATAGGAAGTCCTTTTTCATGAAACATACTTCATTGACCACCTCATTTCTTGATCTTCATGCTATCAACCCTACTAGCAACCCTGAAAAGGAAAAAGAAGAGAGCCTACAAGAGCATAACTGCTATATGATACATGTAAATTCTAGTTGATTGACATTTCAGGAAAAAGAGTAGAGGAGCGTCGATACTTGCCTCCGACTTGCCATCTCCTTAATTCTCATAAAAATAGACAGAGGACATTATGTACTCCATAAAAATAACAACTGCCTTGATTAAAAAAGATAGAACCGCGTCAGTTACTTGCATTTGACTCCTCCTGAGTTCGATCCTTTTTTTTTTCCCGCTCTTTGTTGGTTTACTTGTGCACCAACATAAAAATTATTGAAACAAGACCCATGGACATAGCCATGGATACGGAATGCAGTAGTGGATTGAAAAGGATGCCTGAGCGGAGAGGATCAATCAATCAATGATCAGAGTGAGACACATTTTCCTCCCTCTGGTATTGTGCTAGGCATTGGAACTGCAGTTACATATCTTTGGGGGAATGGTTTCGGTGCAGTGCCAGAGGATGACGAGGTCTCAGCAGGGTTTGCTTGACTCCGGCTGTGGAACTTGGCAAAACGGTTTATGACAGAAAACTTTTCCAAATCCTGGGATTCCACTCTTATATCTAAAAGTGATGCTCTCTGGTCCAATCTGCACCTTAAATTGAATCATATTAGAAAGAACATTGAATTGTAGCAAAAGAATGTCTTATAGAAGATAAGGAGAACAAAATTAGAGACAGGATTTATATTCAGTAGCTATATACATTGACATTTATGCCACAGGAGGTACAAACTCAGGTGTTAAATTTAGTTAATACCCCAGCATAAAATTTTACTAACAAGGAGAAAAATCTCTACAACAAGCTATCAGGGAAATTTTCTCTAGGGAAAGAACTAGCAGCCAACTTCCAACATATTTGTATGTATATGCACTTTGCATTACAAGATACGCATGTAACATATGAATTCAGCTGTCAGTTTGATTCTGCCCATGTCGCAGACTATATCTCCAACTATTACATGTGAGACACAATAGTTTCTGATAATATATTAAAATTTCATGAATGCCAAACACACTCGTACCTTAATAAATCCGTTTCCAGCTTCTTTGCTCGGTTTGTGAAGTCGTCGACAGTTTTTGAGAAATACTGCTCGTCATGTCTCTCAGGAGTTTTGAGCTTTCCAGACATCCTAAGCAAATTTTAAAAAGTTGTTTAGAGGGTCAAAATTCTCTCTATGAACATAGCCTAAGTTTAAATTTTGAATTCATCCATGGCAGAGGCTTAGATCGGAGATGAATTTTTTTTTTTTTTTTTTTTTTTTATGAGGTTACTCTATTCAATTTAATTTCTTATTAACAAAAGAATGAAATTTTCAGTAAGTTCAAAAATCAACTTACGTGTCATAGCTGTTAGAAGACAGGCAGGAATCACTTCCCGAGTAAGACGTTAGGCTGCATGCATCCCCAAGTGCCACTCTAGCAGCAAAGTATACCACAGCATCGAAGTTTGAAGTGCCCCCCGCTGAGAGAATGGCTGCTGGTGCAGGCCGAAACATTTGCTGCATAAGATGTGTTGTCAATATCAACCTTTTCTTTGGTCGGAGCATTGGCTGCAAATCTTCAGTTCTTTCAGCCTCATCTTCCACCTGCCAATAAAAGTGGCATCTATAACCAGTTTTGAAGCCTATATATTCAGGCAAGTGCCTAAAGAAGATAAAATTTCGTTGTGTCACTTGCCAAACTAAGAACACACCTTTTCAATCAGCCGATTTGTTGCTTGCGCCCATTCTAATTCTGCCATGCTGCAAAAAATAAAATAAATTCAACATCACCAAGTCTTCTAAGAAAAAATTCAAAATGAAGACATTTAATCTAGGAAATATCATGCTGAGAAGAAGTAATTTCAATTCAAAGCCTCTATAAAATGAAAATGCAAAATCAAAAGTTGTTTCCTATTGACCTGTTTCTTAAGCCACCAAATTATTGCTATTGAAACAAGTGGGGTGTGTAATAGTAATTTAAGAAAAATGTGTTGATTATGGCAAGCACCTTATACTTTTAAGTCTCCAAGAACCTTGTGTCACTTCCTTATGCCATGGTAGAAAATCAGGTATAGAAATTTTACGCTTCTTTGGTCTCACAGCAGCCAAATTTTGATCAATCACTTCCAAATGCTGCTGACTATCATCAGGAGCATTTATTGTAAACATAGAAGCATTCATGTGCAAATTCTCAGAAGGCTTCCCAAGAGGGAACAGCTGTGCAGCATTCTTTGCAGCTCTTGCATCATACATTGGCAACATCTGCCCATTTCTCAATGTTCCATAGTACTTAAACACTGAAGGTGCCATCTGCAAATTAATCTGAGAAAGTTCTTTTCCATAAGATGCCTCATTTCTGCTAGCAGAATGACTTTGCGAATAACTTTGACCTAGTGTGACCATCTCCTGAGGTGCATCTTGAAGATGTTGGGACAAATTTTTGACCGACTGATGTTCTCTCACCTCTGATGAGAAGTTCAGCATGTTAATATCCCTCGATGGAAATGAATTGATTTGTGACACTTGCTGAAGATTCAGATCAGGACCAGCACCACTATGTTTCTCTGGAAACCTCTTGCTAGGATCACTCTCCACATCCTTCACAGCATGCGCTTGATGCAGCATTGAGTAATTTTGATGAAGTGTAGGTAACGGTTTCAGTGAACGACCAAAGGCTTCGATATCTCTTGCAGAAACAGCTCGCCCTTGTTTGACGCCATGCTGTGCCCCATCAAAGTCATTGTGCTGCGAATGAGCCAACAATAAGTCAGAGCCAATAGCATTTGCTTCTGATAAATGCTTTGCAAATTCTTTCCCATCTGTATGTGAAGCTGAGTCGACCATCTCTGATGAAATTTGCTGCTGAAATCTCTCTTTTCCAAGTTGCTCTTCCCCATGATTAAAGCCTTGCAAATTCACAGAACATGCACCAATTTCCAGCGACGCAGTTCCTCCTCTACATGGGTTTTGATCATGGAGCTCCTGTGCAGCCCATTGAGTAGTTTCAAGACGGTTATTTGTTGAATCTGTGGAAAGCAAATTCGACGAAACCTTGCAAGATTCTGTCCCAGATAGATACCGTTGAGTTGGTACTACGTTTTGCCATGCACTGGGTGGCCTTATCGAAAACCCAACCTGCTGAGACATGCCTGACATAACAGAAGCCTGAGTGACTGGGATGGACTCCAAAATTGGGAATTGTTGACCAAAAAGGTTGGTGAAATTTGGATGTGATGTAGCTTGAGAGGTAGCACATGGAAGTCTACCAGGCAATGTTGCTTGTGAAGCTGGAATGTGCTGTCTTTGAAGGTGATTTCTTGAATAAGGAGGACCTGAAGGAGTTGTCGCAATAGCCTGCACATTCAAATGTGAGGTGTCAAAGCCAGTTTGTCCAGAAATACTTGGTTTATAATTCCAATATTTGCTTTGAGATAGTTCACGCAAAATATGTGAAGACCACATGAAATATGACTAAGCTACCAACTTCTGCTCCTCTTCTAGCCAGGCATAACATGCAAAAGACTTGTACTACTCACCATTTGCGTAGTGCTCGGAGATGAGAAGGAACTCATGGAATTGGGTAGCTGTTGAGACGGAGGAGACAACATTAAGCCATAGCCTTGTGAAGCAGAAGAATAATCATAATGTTGAGCAATAGATGCATCGGGAGTTTCTGCTTTGGGCAATTCAGTTAATGTCTCGGAGTTAGAGGAGCCAAAGCGTGCTACAATATTATGATCCCCCTCATGGTCAACCTTGTTAAGAAGCTCGAGCATGTTTTTACTGTCAAAATTAAACTCAGTGAACTATTGCATAATATATGCAAAATAGAAGTTAAAGGATCCAAACACAAATCAATTCATATAGATAATAAATTAAAGTTCAAGCTTTTAACTTATCATGTCACTTCTCTTAAAAGTGTATTTCAAATGCAGTCAGATTTGTAACTATTCAATCTGAAAATAAACTAGATTTCAAGCTTTCAACTTCACAAAACACAGTTACCATCTCTTCCCACTCCACCCCCCAAGTATATATATATATATATATATATAACACATATAATAACTACCTTTGTCTGAACAGTTGTATTTGAGTCATGAAAGTAGACTGACCTGTTGGAAACAGATAAATTAGCTCCAGCATTGCCTCTATGAGTTACCTCCTCCGATGCTTTTGAGTTTCTCTGAGCATTAGGTGAAGGCCACTGTTAAATCAGACCAATAGCAAACTTATTAAGAAAATCAAATGCAATCATCACAAGTCTCCTCAAATAATAAAATTTATCATTCACCTTTTCCAAGTCCATGGCACCATTAGAATCATTACCAATAAACTTGAACTGTCCAATATATCCTTGCCCTTGACCACTGGATCCTTGAGAGACCTGTTGGAACACAACCTGTGAATGTGTAACATGTTCTGTAGCGTCAGCATGTTTCATATTCACCCCTAAATTTTCTACTGGATGATATAGAAATCTGAAAGAACTAGAAGCCTTCCGACCAACCTGACCAGATGACATTTGTTTATCCCCTGCCACAGGTCGAGAATCACTTTCATGTAGCCACACATTTTCTCTGACTTCATGCCCTGTGATGGCTTGCTGCGATGCGCTAGAATGATAGCTGCCGCCGGAGTTCTCTCTTTGGTAGCAGATCTGTTGCTTTTTATAAGTTTCACCTGGCCTTTCATAAGAATTAATTACAACCTGAGGACTATTACTTGGACGATACTGGTCATCCCCCATGCTCTCACTTCCCTTGTTCTTCAGAGAAATATCAACTTGTTCCATGTAATCAAACTGACCACTCTCTGTGGTATGTTGACTGGTGTCGTGGCAGGCCTTAGTTAAGCTTGCCATACTATTTTTTTCAGGCTTCCAAAAACTACCAGGATCCTTGTGAAAGGCTTCATTAATATCACCAGCCCAAATTTTGTTCACAGCATTCTCATTATTACAAACATTCAGCATACCATTTCCACTGGGTGACTGGACATCATTTCTGTATGAGGATATGATCTTCTGATGTTCGTCATTTTCTGAGTGTGCATATTGAGCAGGCCATGCATTTTCCAAATGTCTAAGTGTTGGAACTGGATGACCTCCCTCAATGGGTTGCTTTTGTTGAGGCTTGCAATAAGACCACTTGTTAGCATCTTCGCAGGGCTGATGAATAGATTCATGAGATGAATCAGAACGCATTATCTCTCTCTGTTTTATTGAATTTTGGATATTTGGTTGCTGTAAACCGGGGAAGACAGAGCGCATAGTAGAATCATTGAACAGAGGTTTCGAACTTAGAGAAGGGACACTCTGAACATGACTATCAACCCAATCTGTTTGTTGTTTTCCAGTGTCCGTAAAGTTTGAAGGCTGATTACCAGTTGACGGCTCTGTGTTCTGGAAACTCAAGCCACTCCACTGTTCTTGTAACCCAGTATCGCTACTAGAAGTTTCCGCAACAGCAGACTGCATAAGAGCACTCCAACTCCCACTTTGAATAGAAGGAAACGAACTCAAAAAATCTGTACATTCCAATGTGTTCCCACAGCCCCCTGTGCTAATGTCGGTGGGCCTGGCAAAAGAAGCATCCCAACTATTGTCATCCATATTGAACAAAATCTTCTTTTCCAATGGATCTAGGGTAGCCAAACCCTGAGAATGGCCAACTTGTGTTGGTTTTTCTGGAAAGAGTCCAGGCCAACAAGCTGGTTCTCGCCTCCCATTGAAGTCCTGCTGTGATGCATTCATTTGCACAGAATTCACCTGCTGAAAGTTTTCTGGTATAACTCCACTATTTAAATCTCGAATAGGAACTTGCCCAAATGAGTTCTTCCCCTGACCTACCTGTTTAGAAATGAAAGCTCCATCTGACATGAAAATCTGGTCAGAAGGAACATTGCAGTGATCACCCAGAAAGGAGTTACTAAAGGCTGATGATTGCATTGTAGGTTTTGTGTGGTTGTCACCATGCTTGATCAAAACGTTGCCGGAATCCTGAGATATCCCTTGGAGATGAGAATACTGACTTAAATTATCTCTTGCACTGGCAATTGGAGTTCCATATAAATACGCCTCAAGCTGTTGAGGAACTTGACCCATGGAACGCAGAGGCTGGCTTTGAGCTTGTGAATATACCAATCCATTTGGAAATCCTTGGACAGTTTGTGATGTGGCATGCTGCACCAAGTTCATGTTACCACCCATGTGCTGTGATACATCATGAATAGGTGTTCCATTAATCAGGGGTGAAAATTGACCCCCATCAGCCTGTTTATTTATTGCAGATAGCTGGTTTATGTGAGTCTGCTGCCTTGCATTACCTAACTCCTGAAGTTGCTGCTGCCTCTTAAGTTCTTGCAACTGCTTCAACATAATGTGCCGCTGCAACATCTGCATGTTATTGAGCCCAGTCTATTGCCTCGGCTAAGGTTGTGGCATACTGGGTCGGCTCCAAACTTACCAAAATTCAATTGGAACTTCTACAGTTCTTTCTGAAAATTGCTGTTAGGAAAGAACTATGCACGGCATGTTTTCTCATCATGATTCATTAAAAGGGAATCCCTTCAATATTAAATTAGGCCAGTCAGATTATGTATTTTCCCCAATAAACTCAGGCTTCATTCTGTCTTCTGGAAAATTCTAAAGTCCATGCATAAAGCCATCTGAACTTAGCTTTTGGCTTCCAGCATGACTTTTGGCAAACTCAGATTCAGAATTGATTGTGTAAACTTTCTATAAGATGGTCCTCAAAAGGACTCCTAATCCCCTTTCTCAGAATATCTGCAGACACCAAAACCAGGCATGTTTTCTCATAAGTAAGAAAGAGGTGTTTAAAAACGCAATGAGCAAAATGTTCAAAAGTACCAAAATCGCTTTCCTCCGACTTTCGCTTTTACTAATAACAATACTTCGTGAAGGATTTTATGAAGCATGCAAGAGAATCCTTAGTAGTCAGAACTACTGCTACCTAATTGCTAAACAATTGTATTCATCAGCATGTCGCTTCAAAGGGACCAATCGGTCATTTATTTATAGTCAACTTATTGTTGTAAAGCACTTTCTATTTCCCAGTTACAGCTTGGGATTGATACATACTACTTCACATATGCATGATGAACTTGGACCAAGTAAGTGAATGTTAGCCAACCATGGTCTACATTAACAAAGTTAAGTAATTCCACCTTTTTAAATCTCAAAAACTTAAGGTCAGTCGCTACCCAGTGTGGTCCTCCATTAACGAAATGTACTGGAAGGGGCAGATTGAATACAAACTTAACCTTTGACTTTTATCCCTAGTGAGTAAACTATTTAACCAAACACAAGTAGTTTGTCAGTCCTCCCTCTGACTCCTCCATTCATTCTTCTTCAATTACTCATCTACTAAATTTGCACAAAGTGGCTGCTCTTAGAAATAGTTTCACGCTTGAGAGTCCAAGCTTTTTACCAGGCAATCCAACCTAACTGAAAATTGCACATTTTGTTTTATGTTTGTTTTCTGACTTATTTTAGGGAAAATGTTAACATTTCGCAACAATTTTAGCCAGATTATACTGAAATTTGGTAAGAGAACATCAACCTTCAATTAATTAGAGATGTAAAGTGGAATGAAAGTGCAAACTTACCAACAACACAGTAAATCAAGTAAAGTACCTATATTTTCCAGATGAAACCATATTACCAAAAAAAAAAGAGTTCAATTATTACCATAAATTTTAAAGTAATGTCAGCTCCAAAGCTTTAATAACATACCCAATTATAAATTATATATGCACATGAAACTATTTCGGGTACAATCCAAAACCCCGCAACCAAAAAACCCTAGAAGAACAGCTACCACCAAGCAAAGAAACAGTAGAACAGTAAATTCACATGAAAAACCAATTAACACTTAGAAAACAAGAATTCAAGACCAAATTTCAAGAAAATTAAAGGCAATAAATACACAATTACATGCCACAGATAGTGATTTCACAGCACAACCAAACAAAGCAAGAGAACGAGCTGAAACAGAGATTGTGTACAAAGAAAGGAAGCAGAGAAAGCAGTAGCTGAAACAAAGGTTAGGTTAAAAGTGTGATCTGAGTGAGAGAATTTAGGGCTGTAGAGAGAGTGTGAACTTACTTTGAGAGGTCGATCAGAGTGAAAATGTCTCAGCTGTTACTGTATAATCTGTATAGCTCTCGATTTTCTCTCACTAGAAAACACTCACTTTCTCTCTCTAGAACAACGATGAGCGAGAAAGATGGCTTTCAGACCAGGCCGAAGATAAAGCGATCGAAACACAAGAAATATTTTCAACGAACTCAGAAGAAGCAACAGTCTAGGTTCGGACCGAACCTCGAGCTCCATCTCAGGCTCGGAGCACTGAAGCTGAGGTCCGGAAAAGAAATATCAGCATGTTTGTCGAGTGTATGTTAACCTGAGATCTCTCGCCGTTTATTCAGATATTTTGGATGATTGACGATGTTGATTTGATGTGGATGTACTCTTGAGTCGGTGTGTGGCATAGCTCGTTGTGAAAGCGAAAAAAGTAGTTGGGATATGCCGACGATCACGCGCTTGCGTACGCGCGTGGGCGTGACAAACACTCTTTTGAATTAAATTTGTGTATTATAGGTAATTTTTTTAATTTTTTGGGCTTTTAGTGGGTTCTTTTTCCCGCCGCCACTTTTAGCAAATAACGGAGGACTTAACGGCGGTCTAATGTTATATAATATATATATATATATATCAGGTTTTTTTTTTTTTTTTTTTTTTTTAATACTAAACCTAATAATAACACAAAATAAAAATGATTGACTCACATTATATATTATATATTGATCACTTTTCCTGAGGTTTGATTCCAAACTACTCTTTTTATTTATTTTATTTATTTATTTATTTTTTTTTTGTGTACAAATTGTTAGAATAATGTCATTTACTCCATATTATTCCTTAGGTTACCATTTACCCCGATGGGTCCTAGAATTATAAGTTAATTTTGTGATTTTACTACAAATCTATAATTATTTTTTTAGCAATAATTGGTTAATTATTTTCAATATCACAATGAAATTGTGTTTTTTTAAAAAAATTTAGCAGTAAAATGTAATTAACTTGAAAAAAGAAGAAAATAAATATTCAATTTATTAGATTACAAAAGATATACAGATACACGGACCACTCTACTCTACTACACTTTAGTTTAAAAGTTCCATAATGATTATTTGTAGAATCAAAGTGGGCTGGGCTGGCCCAAACCTTAGCAGCGAAGCCCAAATTTTGGCCCAACCAAGTTACTAACCTTACAGACAATTCAATATGATACATTTGTCCTACTAATGTAATTTTTTTTGTTTTTTCTACATTTTCCTATACATAAATATACATTGCCTTAAAAAAAAAAAGTAATGGACTTTAGAGCAAGTTTATCTACAAGTAATCATGCACGTAGTAAAACCATTTGTTATAGTTATTTCTTATATAAGAGGCACAATAATATGGTTGTCCTATTTTGATCTAAAGATTACAGATTTGAAATCGAAAAATAAAACTGAACTCAGTGCAAGAGACTCTTGACATTGTCAGATTTGGAGAGAGTCAAATGACGTAATCTCACGTTGATCTAAAGATTACAGATTTGAAATCGAAAAATAAAACTGAACTCAGTGCAAGAGACTCTTGACATTGTCAGATTTGGAGAGAGTCAAATGACGTAATCTCAACGTGAGATTACGTCATTTGACTCTCTCCAAATCTGACAATGTCAAGAGTCTCTTGCACTATACATTTTTTCAATCCATAAAATTACAAGATATATCAATTTTCTTAAATACTAAATACATGAAGAATTGGAGCATTTATTAAATATTGGACTACTTTTTACCATCAATTTGAGGAGAGACTAGCACAGAAAATGAGGACATGGATGAGTGCTCGAGCCTTGAAGAGTACTTTGGCATCTTTCAAGTGACCTAATAATTTCACAGTGGGCTTTCATGACCACTTCCAAAAATAGTATGTACTTGTTTTCAAAAATCATGCTCATAATGGTAATTGCTGGTATAATAATCATTATATAATGTGAGTGCTATTAAAGTCATGTATCACTCACACCCATGAACCAACAGTTTATACAATCATTCCCAATTACAATAACACTTATTTTGACTATTCATTACTGTTTTGACAAGCACACACACAGACTACTGTAACATAACTATTGGAAATTTATTGACAGATTAATCCAGTATAGAATAAAATTTGGCTTGCAGTTACCTGCATTTAGTGCTTATATATTTCTTTTCATAAATATTTAGTGCTAATATTTCTTATGGCACAACATATATATATTATGGTAGGACCGTAGGGGAAAAAAGAAATTGTGTGCAATTACCTGCATTTAGTGCTTATTATAATTTTTATTTAAAAAAAAAAAAAAAAAAAAAAAAAAAAAAAAAAAAAAAAACCATTACATTTTAAATTGAGCAACAATTTGAAGACTAAAAATACCTTAAATGCTCTTAAGTAAAAATAATAATAATAATAACAAATACTGATTTCATAGAAACTGATTAGTAAGGGTATTTTGGCATTTTAATAGAACTTTTTGTTCAAAATTGACGGTTAAGACTCAAGAGGCAATTTGCACATATTTTCGAACGTTAAGGATTTTATATGTCCATGCTAAATTACATGGCTATTTTTTAAACATTTTTAATAAAGTAGGGCTTCTTCTTCTTCTTCATTTTTTTTTTTTATTATTTTTTTTTTTATAACACAAAATATATTTTATTAATATGTAACTATGGACAATTGTTCGTGTGTTCTGAATCTCTTCCTAAATTGTTAAAATTAACATGCCTAACAACTTTGCTTATAAGATAACCTTAAAAAGTTAAACAAAAAATGATCTTTGAAAATGACCATGTTGGTTTTTCCGACAAAATGGCTCCACACGGTCCACTTTAGAGCCCTTTTAAGTACAAACCCTTTAACCTTTTGAGACGTGTCATTCTTCAAAGAAACAGTAATACATAGGACATGCTTTCGGTTGAAAAGGTTCTTAGGTTTTCAACAATTCTCGGAAGCTGAAATTACATAATGAAAATAATAACCAGTTCGACATTTGGACTAATACAACTATTTTACGCTAGTGAAGATGTCATTTCCAGCTATATAAATGTAGTCGAATTAGTCCGAAAGTGTCACAGCTCTTACAGATTTTAAGAATTCAACTTAAATGTAGTCAAATTAGTCTGAAAATCATACATTCTTATAGATTTTAAGAATTCTACTTAAATGTAGTCGAATTAGTCTGACAATCATACACTGTATCACAACTCTTACAGATTTTAAGAATTCAACCTAAATGTAATCAAATTAGTCCAAAAGTTAGTTATCACAACTCTTACAGATTTTAAGAATTCAATCTAAATGTAATCAAATTCATACACTGCATCACAACTCTTCCATATTTTAAGAATTCAACCTAAACGTAATGGAATTAGTCCGAGAGTCGGATACTGTATCACAACTCTTACAGATTTTAAAAATGAATTCAACCTAAACGTAGTCAAATTAGTCGGAGAGTTGTATCACAACTCTTACAGAATTCAAGAATTCAACCTTGTGGTGAATAGTGAAGACCCCAAAACAAGTTTGGAGGTGCCTTTTAGCATAACTAGCAGTATACATTACCCAGTCTTTTTCTAACACCCTATTATTGTACCACAAAACTGGGATGCTATTCATGAATTCCAAACCTTTGGTGACTTGCAACTATCAACAGAGTACATAAAGCAACAAAATATGATGTTGCAATTCAAAATCTAATTGCACTTGGAGAACAAAACAAAAGGAGGAGAGGAAAAAAAGGGAGTCAAAGTTTACTCCACCTCAAGAATACAGTAATTATCATAATATGAAGCTTTGATCACTGTCAGGGTTAATGCATAGGTGCATTTAATTAAAATACCGATATTGACGAGATCTCTCTATAAAAACAGAAACATTTCAATGCTCCCAAGCATGAGTAAGACCCGAACACCGCAAACAAGGAAAACACCAACCCCAAATCAACGAGATCAAGGGCGTATAACTTTAAGTTTGAGCATGTTTAAATTACAAGTCTCCTTTCAACGGCCAACTAAATACATTAACCTCTATTGGTGTAAATAAAATTGCCTTAAACATAACTAGCATGAGCACAGGTTCTCCAGTCGAGCTCAGCAATACAAGGGAATGAGATTTCTTCTGTCACATCATCATCTCGGGAATAACAAATAGCAGGAGGCTGAGGTAAAGATTTCCAAGCATTCTCAATCGTCTTGTGAAAGAAGTTAGTTTCCACTCTCCAATATGAAGATAATTGTCACACTTTTGTAATAGCTGGAAAGAGAGAACATGGGAATGAATTAGCTAACAATGATAAAAGTAAAAGCATGCCATGAAAAGGAAACACGCGCGCACACACACACGGACGTAAGACCCCCCCCCCAAAAAAAAAGAAAAGTAGGAGATGAGAAGACAAATGTAAGGGATGAGAAAAGAGAGTGAATGGGTAGGCTGGACAGACAGAAGAATTGAAGAAAGTAAGAACATGGGGGGAAAGGGAGGGAGGGAAGAAAAGAGAGAAGTATGAACTTCAAGATATTCAATGTTCCAAAAACTAATTATGTTACATGTAGTGTTTTATAGGCAAACCCTAAAAAGAAAAGAAAATATCCAATAAATACTAAAATAAACAAAAGTACGGTCGCTCAAAAATAGATGACTAAATTCAAATAAGCAATTTCAGCCTTCCAATAATTAGGCATAAAGTGTGTAAACCGGAACAAATATAGGGGACATGGAGCAATGTCCCCCAAAAGTTGAATATACGGCATGGCCTCAGAGCCCTCAGGTAAAGTTGGAATTTTCTCTGAACAGAATAGAAAAATGGGCATCTTTGGCTGAAAGACAAGTAGTTGTGTAACATAAACAATCAGAGCGATTATAATTTCCCAGGCTGATATGAGCTTCCTACAGGTTGACATTGGTAGGCTTCAAAGTTTAAAAAGGGTAATTTATTGAGCAACTTATTCCAGGAAACAAAAGAATGACAAGAAAATTTTCAGTATAATTTCTGGCTCATGTTAGCCAATCAGATAGAGCTGGAACTCTAGAAGCAGTTCTTGCTCGATCAATTCAGAGTAGAGGCAGAACTCTAACCCCTGTCCCACCACCAACCCTAACTCCCAGTAACAAAACAATCAAAAGAAAGGAAGTTGCAAGAATATAAAATCATACTTGCAAGAATAATATATTAAAACATGTACATAGAATGATTCAAGTCCACTAACATTTACCATAAACTGCTCCATAACCCTGCGTCACTACACAGAAATATCAGAAGAAATGCAAAGGTTCGAGTCTACCCCACCACTGATCACACTATCACCTTTCCACCAGTCAACACATAAAACCTGAATTTAAACAAAAACCCCCGTATTTGAGAAACTCTGAATTAGGTCACAAGTACACCAAACAGAAAGCCAAAGGAAAATGGCGTACCTTGTCCTTGTGTGAATCAATGACAGCCAGTGGCCACTGCACATAAAATCATATTATCCATATATTAAATTTTCTGGTGATGCTGATCTGTAATATTGAACAATAAGTGAATGGAAAAAGTAGAGAGAATCAGATACCGCAGTTCTTAGATCCCACAACATCACTTTCCCGTCATAAGATGCTGAAACCAAATGAAACCATGACTTATTGTGCCACTTGCAAGCCGATATCCAGGAAGTGTGAGATGAGAACTGAAAGATAGGAGCCGAAGTTCCTACAAGACATCAAATTTTATGTGAGATATCAGATACATGTGTCTGTGGCATACATGCATGTGTCTGTGAAGATACGTGTTTTCAAGTGCGTATGAGAGAGAGATTATAGATTCTATATGTTTTGCTAATCAATAGACCTGGTTTCCGAGGATCCCATATCCTAAGTACAGGGTCAGAACCGCCAGCAGCAATGAGTGCAGAACTTTCACCTCCAACATCAAGGCAATTGATGACTTTTCCACAAAACTGTACAAAAAGAAAGAATCAACAGGTACCCAGCTTCTTCTTTTTCACAAAGAAAATAAACATAAGGAAAATTATTGCAATAATGCTGTTGGAATTTAGATGGAGCATATAGCTTGTGCTGATGCTGCTATTTACCTAACTTGAGGGAAATGACTTCTGTAAACATTCAAGGACATACCTTGAATTCAGGGAATGTTTTTAATCCAAAAGTTTAAAAGTTTTTAAAGTCTCAAAACAAGAGTACTAGAAGATCCAGAAACGTTGCCATGATTTTCTCTCTGTGGTACTAAAGACAACCTTTGGAGGAACCCAAACATTTTTGTGTAGTCAGCTGTCCCATTGCCTAGCATAAGAGTTCTAAGATTTTGGTGCCTCCACATGGCATGTACATAAGTTGATTTTCCCATCAGCAGACCACTTGAAAATTCTAGAAAGAAACAAATAAGCCCACACTGTTCAACCACAGTTTGGATAATGACTCCAGAGTCCAGATCTATTATGCAATGTTTGAAAATTGTCACAGATGGGTTTGGTTGTGTATAACGAAGACAACAGAATAGGAATAATCCAGAAAGAATTGCCGTGCTCAACATCAGATTATTCACCTATGCTAGTATAGGTTGGCAAAGGTATTAAGAAACAAGGTGATTCAAAAAGAAGGTGATAGTGAAAAGAAAAGGTAAACGCCATGCTTGGAGAAAATATGATCCCAGATGTAATGGAAGAGTGACACAAAACGTAGACAGCCAACCTAAACATTTCTAATATGTTTCTATTAATTATTTTAATGAATGCATTCAATGAGAAGAATGCCTTCGTTCACAAGAAAAGTCTGAAAACCCCAGCTAAAAGGAAACAATAGCAAACCAGAATATTTCATGGCATATGATCAAGGAGACATGTTAAGGGGGAGAACATCTAGAGATCTCTGACTGATAGACCTGGGAATTTGGGACAGCCAGCAATTTTGACTTCCCTCAAGCCTCAACAGTAAGACCAGAATGAGATCTTAACTAAGTAATAGAATATACCATAATTGGCTACCCGATATTTTACATATATAAATAAGTTCTACTGCAAAAGAAAGTGCTTCCTGCATAATCTGACACGCGAATGAGGAAAAAAAGGAAGCTAAGATACGGTCATTCACACACCATGTTTAGTGAATCTTTGCCAGTTTCAACATCCCATCTTCTAATAGAATGATCCCATGATGCAGAGTAAATTGTTCCATGTTCTGGCCAAACAACGGAAGATACGCATTGTGTATGTCCCACCAGTGTGGATGCAGCCTCTCCCTGTATGCCACAGAATTGCAACAAAATTCAGTTTGCTTGGGAAAGGAGAAAAAAAAAATAGAAAAAGATATTAAGTTCTCCAAATAGCTAGGACAAAGATAATGTAAATAGGATTATAGGAATGACCGACTTGAATAGATAAAAGCATACCACTAAAGTTGATATGAAAAATTCAATGCAAGAACTCTACAACACAGCACTTTCATTTTTTCTTTTTCTTTTTTTTTTTTTTTTTCCTGAAAGTATATTTTCATTGTTTGAAAAAAAATATAATAGCTTCGGGACCCAAAACATCAATATTTAAAACCGTATAGCTGAATTTAAAACAGATAAAATAAGAATAAAATCTGGTCATGGAACAAAAGTCACTGAATATGATACTCAACAAAGCCTTTTCTCAACCACTTGGGGTCGGCTACACGAATCCTATTTTCCACTTTGCTCGATCTAAAACCATAGTCTCAGTCAAACCACGTGCTACCATATCCTTCCTCAGTAAGTCTACCAATGTGCATCATGTCACTCTTCCTAACTAGTACACTCGGTGGTTCTCTTTGCAGATATCCAAACTATCTTCATCGATTTTATCTCATTTTTATCTCCAATTGGTGCTATCTCAACCATCTCAGAAATATGTTCATCTCTAATTCTATCTTCTCTTATCTTGCCACATATCCATCTAAACATTCGCATTTACACCACTCACACTTTATATGTTGTTTTTTAACTGCCCAACATTTTATACATTTTATCCTATAAAGAACAGCGACATAATACCAGATCTTGCATACCAAACTTTAATAATGGCCATCCATTAACCTAATCTTATAGTCTAGTTATTGTGACTGCATATAGTTTCCAGCAACATTGTTGCTACTCCAATTGTCAGCAGGGGAAGTTTGGTTATTGTGACTGTATAATGTATAATGTTTCCAGCAGTATCGATGCTATTCTAGTTCTCAGCTGGGTCCAAGCTTAAACATAGTTATGTAAAAAGTGAGTTTCCAGCAGGAATGATTTACTGGCTTCTGCCTACTATTCAAGACCAATTCTGGTTATGGTTCTGGAATAACTTAAGGCTTGGTTTCTCTGTTTATCAAATCATGTGCTTCCGAGCAAACCCCAGGTGCTACTTCCTAGGTTTGATTAGTTGTGAATTGTTTTGTCTTCAATTTTAACCATCCAAGTCTAGTTTCATTATAAAACCAATTGCTCTGTGAACCAACATAAGGAAACTTAATTTGAAATGTCTGTTGGAAACAGTAATCACTAATCAATGCATTGCTCAAAACCATATGAAATGGTCTGTTCAAAATATATGTACACATAGGTTATGGATTTCTAGAAATTGAACGATTTGCATTGTTTATTATTATTTTTGGCAAGGACATCACACAAAAGTAAATTTATTTCATAGTAATCCATGCTAAAGGGTGGATTTTTTTCCCTCAAATGCTATGAATAATGTCAATTTCATGGAATTCAAAAATCCATCTCATAAAGATTAATAGGAGTAATACCTCAGATTGAGATTCCTTATCTTCACCATCCATTTTTCTCTTCTTAAGTGACACTAGATTGTCCCCTGCATCTGACTCATTCGTCTGCCATATATTGATTCTACAGTCCCATGAACCAGAACACACCTGAATAAATGTAACAATAAAATTGTACAGATTGAGCATAATTTCACTTCAATTTTATGTTTGACATTATTATCAACTACAATATAAAATGGAGTAGACGAGACCATGTCTCCAGAAGGCTGTGCAGCAACACTCTGTACAGATGCGTTATGGCCACGTAAAATTCTAAAAGCTCCAATCCTCATAGGATGATCCATTGACTGCTCCGCGTCAAACTTTCAGGGATAAATGACAATAATTAGGGAAGCAGAGAACCTTTTTTTTTTCAAGGCAAGAAATAAGCTTAATTTAAGAACAGTAGCATCTATCTAGTACCTTCCACAGCCTGACAGTCCTATCTTTTGAAGCAGTGGCTACAAGGAGATCGGTACTACTTTCTACACCTGCAAAATTAATGAACAAAACTAAGAGGAATGGTTGGAAAAGCACACACCAATTTACAATTATAACCTATATTGTATGGATTCAGAAACACAATGGTGTGTCCGACACCTAGTAAGTATATTCAATAATTCAAGTCCGCTAAATAATTGTACAATAAGTTCTTGTATTATATTCAACCGACCCTAAAAACTCAGGATTCAATTACTTTTGGATTCATATCATAGCATAGTCTGTTTAAAATGGTGAATGGCATGCATGGAAGAAAGCATGGAATGAAAAAACTACATCATCATCTACAAAGGACTTCGTATATAAAATGCTTTCAGAGTTCATATTATCGTTTGTTTCTATTTCTCTTTGGTGTCTGATGTCAATAGGTATGTCAAGATTGCAAAACAAAAATTTATCAGTGATAATACCACCATTGATGGAGTTTAACCATTAATTAGAAAATGTACATTATATTGAACTACATATAATGTATCTAAAGAAGCTTTAAAGTTTAAACAATAAAGAACTCATATTGTCAACAGAGTCCAATATTTATACATAAGGTGTATAAATATTCATTAAATGTAAACATTCACTGGAAAATTAAAGCAGAATGACCTACACTGTTCATATCATCTGCTTAAAGAAGCTATATAAGACTGGCAACCACCTCATTAAAAAGATTGGAGCATCTTACTTAATGACATATAAACTTTGTAAATTCTTATTATTGTCAAACTACCTCGTACAATCCAATTATCAATAAATCTACTCATGCAGGACAAAACAGAGATTGTTACAAACACAAATTTTCCTGTAAAAATCTATAAAAAAATAAAAATAAAAATAAAAAAATTAAATCATATGAAAACAGTCGCATTTGAAATAGAAATGTGATATTGTTTTATGTTATTTGAATGAAAACTAATCCAACAGAATTTTTTTTTTTTTTTTACAAAAAAATTAAAAGGAAAATGCTGATTCATAAACCAGATCTGAATCTATTATCAACAACACTACAACCAATCAACTTCAATTAAATAACATCAACATTATATATAGATATATACATATATATATAATGAGACATCTATCAATATCCTTAGATTTTGGCTATATTAAAGGATACATCAATATATCAATAGATATTTAAAATGTTGGTTTGTACAATTCGCTCCTTGAAAGGAACTAATATTGCTAACTTAAAAACTAATGGATAAATCATAAGGTGAATACATGAAAATTAGTCCTATTAGAGTTGTTGGAGAAAATAATATGATAGGCAATTGATGTATTGGTAATACACAACTGACTCAAGGCAACAAGCTTTGCTGAAATCATTGGATGTATAAATAGTAATTATCGAGAGTGGGAAAACAATTTAGTATCTTAACTAATAAAAGTCAATCATTTGAAATACAACCAACAGTACCTGTGTGCTAAATCAAGTGACCTCTACAATAATTGACATGTCAAATCTATAAAAAGATGTTAGAGAAAATATATACTATTTGTAATTGTACCTTTTGACTTTATAATAGTAGCAGAAGAAACTGCAGCACTGTGTCCCTCTAATACATGCGTACACACAGCATCTTTCCATATCCTAATAAAGTAAACAAAATCCAAAGAATATTAAAAATTATCAAGCTCATATTCATGTAGAGAGATATCAAAATAATATTAGCTTCATCAAATAGTCCTAAGGAAGAGGCAAAATTGATTAATATTACTAGAAATATTACCTTCCTAAACCATCATAGCAACCTGTCAGAATGAACCTGCCAAATGACATATTTAAAATGTAAACTTCCACAAGAATGCCTTTCTGATTGATAAGATTGAAAGAAGAAGAAATACCACAAACATTTTGGATGCAATTCTTATTGATAGATAAAAGAACACCAATATTCTCACTTTGGAAACTACCATGCCAGAAAAATATCAGAGGGCATCTCCCTCATAATGAATGCATTCAAGAATCATAGTACTTAATGAATGAAAGTGACAAATGTGGAGCATAATTTTGATGTTGTTTTGAATTCACATGCTTACCCAGGATTTGAACCATCAACTGCACTGACCCAATCATCATGCAAAGAAGGCTCTTTCTCTGTTCGCGGGACCACAGCCTTTATGTATTCAATTTCTAATATTTTCTCCTATAATGGATAATAGATTCTAGTTAGGAATCAAAAACAGGGACTAATCACTGAAGTAATAATAAAAATAGATAACGTACCGGCATCAATACATAATACTCTACTTATCACAAAAAAAAATCTCATCTCCTTGTCTCATTCTCTTACATATATATTCAATTTTACTTCATGAGATTTTACATGAGCAATTGACATTCTAAAATTGATAGCAACATGCCAACACCCACTAAATTAGGTGAACCATCGAACATGAATCCAATAGTAACGCCAAAAATATAGCAATAGTGTACAATTGTACAAAATTGTGTTGTTCAAAACTATCAAAGAAAGACATAACACATGTAAAGAATGGATTTTGACTATCATGTCTTTCATACACGATTTGTTTGAAAACAATTAGATTTCTTTCTCTTTATATCCAAGAACTAGACAGAGAAATACTGAAAAGAGTAAATTAAAGATACATCCCATCATAAAATGTTAAAAACGCAACATTTGGGAAAGGTAAGTACCGCTGAGATGCCCTTGGCAAGAAGAAACTCTTCAAGTGACATCCGAACTAGCTCTCCATCGATCAGAAAATCAAAAGGTTCAGCATTTCCTGCAAGTTCAGCATTTCCTGCAAGTTCACACATGCAAAATCGTGTCTTTCATATACATGCACTAATACACGTTGAGTAACATAAATAAATATTATATATATAAATATATGACTGTGGAATTGAGAAGGGATAAGTCTTGCAATGTTATACAGAGAAACAAGTAAAATGGCTTCACAAATACGTTTCCTTTCAGAAAAAATATAATAATAAAATAAAATAAATTAAGGATTTAAACTTGATTTTTTTTTCAATTTCAGTCAGAAGTAGAACAAACCCCTCCAATCAACTAAACCTGATGCAAAAAGACGAGCAACAATTTTCCCAAAAACCAATGAAAATAACAGATTTCCACATTTTATTCAAGTTGATTTTTCCAGAAAATCAAATAGAGGTAATGAATCATGTAGTAATTGATTAATAAACTACACAAATCAGAAACAGGCACAAAAAAAAAAAATCGACTACTGAAATATATACACACACATACATATATATATATATATATATATATTGGAGGGAGGCAAGAGATTGTACTAGCTTGGAGAAGTTCGTTGACGAGACCGGAGAGGCCCATCCTGGTGAGGTAGGTTGGAATATAAATGGGAGTGCTTGGGACCTTCAATGGAGGCTGAAGCTTAGTGACGAAGCGGGCCTGGACTTGCCTTGACGGCTCTTCAAGATTTCCGTCGATATCCATCTCTCGGTAAAACGATAGATTCAGATCAAGTGTATATATGTGTGTGTATAGAGAGAGAAGAGGAAGGAGAGAGGGCTGAGAAGCGGAGGAGTTGGTGGTTGAGCTGTGGTGCTTAGAGAACCTCCAAAAGGAGGGAAGCTAGGGTTAACTGAAAGTGTGAAACTGAAAAGGTTTTGGACTACGACGTCGTATTATACAATGAAAAAAATAAATAAAAGAAATAAAAAAAAGAAGAAGAAGAAAAAAATACCCTTAAAACTGGGTTAATGGGTCTCGATTAGGGTGCAATTTGGGTTAACCCGAACTCAATCCGAGTCCAGCCCCATTTTTTACGGACTGAAAAATCTCAATTCGAATTTAATTAGAGTTGGATTGGGGTTGAAGTGCTAACAAACTCGAGTACCTAAACCCGAATTCTAATATTATTTATATATATTTCTTATTTTAAATATATTATATATAATATTCAAATTATAATAACTTTTTTGTTTTCAAATGCCTTTTTTATTTATATCTTAACATTTAGGAGATTTTTATTTCTAAGAATTTGATGGTAGTTTATGAAAAATTTGCAATAAGATCGAAATCTTCTTTGTTTGAGAATAATTTAATCGGAATAATCTGAATTAACCAAAAATTCTAAGTTCCAATTGCAAACCCAGGTTTAAAAGTAGAAGGAGGTGGATGGGCTTGGGTTGAATAAATATGGTTGAAGGTAGGATTGGAATTATGCTAGGGATATGTCCGGTTGAAGGTAGGATTGGGATTATGCTAGGGATATGTCCGGTTGAACTCAAGCCATACTTTCAAGTTTCAACTTACTCAGCCCGCTTGACTTGCAGCACGATCATGATGCTTAATTTTCTTATATATTTGTTAATTAGTTTATAACATTAATATTTTAATTCAACTTTCTGTATTAATTGATTTTATCAAACTTTTTCCAAGTTTCTTAATAAAATTTTCTGTAACTTATGACAAAAAAAAAATATTAATAATAATAATTTTTCATAGTGGTTATAATTATAACACTCAATTTTAAAATTAATGGGCATTAGCTATAACGATCTCTTCTCCTAAACAATAGACTTGTTTGGGGAGGCAATATTTAGGTGTTTTAATATTTGTGGTCTGTGTATATTTGCTTAAACTTTTTTAAAAAATAAATAAATACAAAGTATTAATTTGTTAATAGATCAAGTGTATCTGCAATTAAAAAAAATTTATACAACAATTTAGGTACCGCTAAATTTCACTTATCATTTGAACACCAAAAAAATAATTTTTTTTTTCTAGGGTTAAAAAAATCTAAAATCTTTAATATATATATATATATATATTCAAAATATAATAAATACTTTAAATTCTTAATATTTGACTTACCAAATTCATATTATCTTTAAGTGACTATCAATCTATAACTTTTCAAGATTAACTACTCTAGCTTATTGGCTTGTTTGAGGTCATTTGGGGTTTGCACGGGACATTTGTGTCTTAGGCTCTTATGGGCTAGCCCATCTGTAACATTTATTTGGGCGTTGTTGGACGGGCTGGCCTTTATAGTCCTGTAAATATTTTTATTTATATAATTGCTTGAATTAAAGAAGAAAAAAAAAAGTAATATAGCTTTAAATACTGATAAAAACCATTCTAAAACATACTATTACGGATAAAACACAATTCTAGAACATTTAAGATTTCTATAGAATTGGTAAATGTTTAAGAGTATTTATTTATAGAACATTGAAAAGTAATGTATCTTAGACGTGGTGATTTACTGAAGTCTAAATATTTATCAATTTTTGTTTTTAATAGAATTGAAGTCTATATAAAGGAATAAACTAAGTTTACTGTGCAAGTGAAATATAATTGAAAATATCGGGAATTAACACGTAAAAAAATATTATCACATCTTGTGTGAACTAAGTTAGTGAGATATAAGTTAAAAAAAGAGTATTTATTTATAGAACATTGAAAAGTAATGTATCTTAGACGTGGTGATTTACTGAAGTCTAAATATTTATCAATTTTTGTTTTTAATAGAATTGAAGTCTATATAAAGGAATAAACTAAGTTTACTGTGCAAGTGAAATATAATTGAAAATATCGGGAATTAACACGTAAAAAAATATTATCACATCTTGTGTGAACTAAGTTAGTGAGATATAAGTTAAAAAAATCTGAAACTAAAACGTTTATTGAGTGAGTAAAATCTATATAAAGAGAATTGAACTCGAGTGAAATCTATATTGAGTGAGTGAGTGGGGTGTAAGTTTAATATAATTACAAAGCAATTTGAAATCAACACGTAATATAATTGCTTGACATCTGTAATTGAGACGTTGATAAAGCAGATACCTGTATTTTTAATATAATCCGCTACCAACTAACCCACCATATCTAAAAGTGTCTAATTAATATCTTCTACAAGTATGCGCGAATTGTTATTATGCATCAGCGTAATGATTTAACTGTAAGCGTTACAATGGTTTAAGTGTTTAAATTTTTTATTACACCTTATAGTATCAAATCTACGAAGAGTTTATATTACACAATTTTTAATAGTTTTTCTGTTTCAATTTAAATTATTATTATTTTTATTGTTATTTTGTTTGTCTATTTCTTGGGTGAAAATGGCACCATGGAAATTGATCATTCATCCATATGATATTTGATAAATTTAACAAGTAATTAACATGAATGTGTACTTGTGTATGGAATTTTTCCCTCTCCATTCTGTTGGTCATTTTTTTAGGCCAAAATGTAGTTCCTTATGTTGTGTACACTGTTTTTTGGAGAGTACATAAGGTCATTCAGTAGAATTTATGGATTGCTTGTTAGTATGCTGCTTATATTTATGGTGATAGTAGCAGTGCTTATGGCATATTCGGGGCATAGGAAGACATGATATTTAGAATTCTTATGTATTAGCAAGCAAATGATTAGGGTTATGCTTGCGATACTTCGGGTTTGATTTTTTAATTAGTTCATACTCTATATTAAATGATTTTATCAAACTTCTTCAAAGTTTTTAAATAAATTTTCTATAACTTATCACCAATATATATATCATAGTGGTTATAATTATAGTAGTCAATTTTAAAATTAATGGGCATTAGCTATGAGGATCTCTTCTCCTCAAAAAGAGCCATGTTAGGGGCAATATTTAGGTGTTTTAATATTTGTGGTGTGTGTATATTTAGTTAAATTTCTTTGAAAAATAAATAAATATTAAGTTTTAATAGATCAAGTGTGTCATTAAAAATACTTATACAACAATCTAGGTACTACTAAATTATGATAATTTGCACTTACACTCCCTTAGATTTGCAATAAGGAAGGGTAGATACAACTTAAGGAGAGTGTGATCCAATTGCTTCCAAGTTTGCAAAGTTAAACCATAACACCTTAACCATGATAAGAGTACCTAATATTACTCTAACTTTTGAATTGACTCATTTAAATCATTAAAATACAATATTAAACTTTTAAAATCCTTTTATTTGACCAAAATGACACTTAGCTAAAAAAAAAAATAAGAAATCAAACTCCACCACTCTGGCCGCCAACGCCATATGCATACAGGCAGGGCGAAGCCAATAATTTTTTAATTGGGGATGTAAAATTAAAATGTTAAAATAATATATATATATATATATTTTTTTTTTGCAAAAATATTTTAGAATATATATATATATATATATTCAAAATATAATAAATACTTTAAATTCTTAATTTTTCAATTTGCCAAATTTCGTATTATCTTTAAGTTACCATCAAATGTATAAATTTTCAAAGTTTAAAACTCTAGCTTATCTCTATCAACTATTGTCTTTCACATGGGCTTTACCTCCGTTATGGCTTGTTTGAGGGCATTTGAGGTTGTATGGGATATTTTTGTCTTAGGCTCTGATGGGCTAGCCCATCATGTGTAATATTTATTTGCGCGTTGTTGGACGGGCTAGCCTTATAGTCTTGTAAATATTTTATATTTATATAATTCCTTGAATTTTAGAAAAAAGTAAAAAGTAAAATATCTTTAAATACTGATAAACATTCTAAAACATATTACCGATAAAACACAATTCTAGAACATTGAGATTATTTCTATAGAATTGGTAAATATTTAAGAGTATTTATAGAGAGCATTGGAATTATTATAGTGTTTTTAAATATATATTTACGTATCTTGAGTAGAATGCTTATATATATATATATATATATATATATATAAAGAATTTACTGAGTGAGTGAAATACAATTACAAAAAAAATTTGTAAAGAAGAATATCTTGTCATCTGTATTGAGTAAACTGAATTTACTGAATTACGAAAAAGTTAACTTATCGAGTGAAATGTAATTACAAAAAAATATGTAATTAATACGTAGAAGAATCTCTTTGTCATTTGTATTGGGTGAACTAAGTGTATAGTTATTTAATGAGTCATTCATTGAGTAAACTGAATTAAGTGAGTGATATTTGTACTGAGTTGAATGAGTAAGCTGAGTTGAATTCATGAAATCTGTATTGAGTGAACTGAGTTGAATGAGTGAGTAAGAAAGATAATTATAAAATAATTTGAAATTAACACGTATATTTGGAATTAACACGTATAAGAAGGGAACTGAGCTGAACAAGTGAAATCTGTATTGAGTAAACATTACTGTAGATTACTGAGAGAGAAAGCTAACTGTAAAACAATTTGGAATTAACACGTATATGATGTGAACTGAACTGAACAAGTGAAATATGTACTGAGTAAAGATTATTGTAGATTACTCAGATTACTGAGTGAGTGAGTGAGAATGATAACGGCAAAACAATTTGAAACCAACACGTATATGAGTATGTTGTCATCTGTATCTGATATGTCGATCAAGCATATACCCCAGTTTTTAATATATAATCGCGCACCAACTAACCACCGTATCTAGAAACGTTGTCTTCTACAAGTATCTGCGAATTGATCTCTCCAACTGCAATCCATCTGCATAATTGCTTAAGGGTAAGCATTCTCTCATTGTTCTCTTCTACCCGAATTGATCTCTCTTACAAGTAATGCAATGGTTTTAGTGTTTAAAATTTTGAAGGGTGAGAATCGCTGAGTGATGTGCAACTGGTATTTTTTTTTTCTTGTCTCCAAATCATTGCATGTCAACAAGGTCTAAAAAGAGTTTTTATTACACCATTTGTTATGGTATCAGTTCTACAAAGACTTTCTATTACACAATTTTAATGGTTTTTCTGTTTCAATTTAAATTATTATTATTCTTATTTTTGTTTGTCTATTTATTGGATGAAAATAACACCATGGAAATTGATCATTCATGCATATGACACTTTTAAGTTGAACAAGTAATTAGTATAAATGTGTACTTGTGTATTCTGGAATTTTTTCCTCTGCATTCTGTTGATCATTTTTTGAGGCCAAAATGCAGTTCCTTATGTTGTGTTTAGCAGATAAAATTGCAATATTCACCTAAAAAAAAAAAAAATTATATATAAAAGGTTGCTATTTTTCAGGATGTGTGGATTTGCAGACTTTTCTTCCTTTCTCTCACTCTCCAATGAGTAGGCCTAATTGCCTATGTGCTAGGCCAAAATGGTTGTATTTACACACCGTTTAAGTCAAATGTATCTTTCTTCATCATCTTTCGTCCTTTTGTTCTTTCCAATATGAATTTTATTAAGCCTGTGACATCATGGGTGTGCTAAATTTAGCCCTTTCTATATATATATATATATATATATATATATATATATATATATATATATCAAACCATAAGGCCCATTCTTATACTTCTTCAATTTTCTCTTTTAATGTGCAGGTTTTTATAATTTTCACTCCGATTTAGAGTAACCTATTTTGATTTGCATAAGTTGAAAATGTACCTGGTGGAGAGTAAGGAAGGTGCCAGAGCTTGTATGCTGCTTGCACTTGTGTTGTTGGGTACTTGGCCTGCTGCTCTGACTGTCCCGGAGCGACGGGGTCGGCTTCCTCAACATACCTATCTTGATTATGCCATCTCAAACCTTTTGGCTGCTGTTGCCATAGCTCTCACCTTTGGTCAGATTGGTGATAGCAAACCCAACATGCCAAACTTCTTTACTCAACTTTCTCAAGCTCAGGTGATTTCTCATTTATATGTTGTTTTCAATCATGAGTTGTATCTTTTTTGGGATTCAAACTTGAAGTATATGCGACTTTCTGTTGAGGCATAGTGATTAATTATGTGGGTATTGTCAATTATTCAATAATATTGCAAATCTATTGAATAAATTCTAAATTATTCAAAAATTTACCACTGATTGTGACAAGAAATCCGATTTTTTACTGTGTTTGGAACCTGCTTCTGCATTTAACAAAACAGTAAAGTTGGTTCACTTTTGGGCTTTTGGCCTTCTCTGTTTTGCTGATCAAACACTTTTAACTCTCTTTGAACTAAATTGAAATTTATCGTTGCTACTGTAATCTCAAAGTGAAAATTAGACATTTGGTTAAATTGCTGACATGGTTAAAAGATGAAAAATCACATAATTCATATGATGTACTAATTTACAAGATTAGATAAACCAAAAGAAAGTGTGATTTTTTTGTCGCCTCGTTAATTTTTTCAATTTTTTAGCTGTTTTATGTCATTTTCTTTGTTGTTGATGTCATATAAACCTGGCCTTTCCTAATATTTTGTCCAACTGATATATCCATCACACAGTACAATTGGCCTTGTATTTTGGTTGCCATGGCTGGAGGGGTGTTTCTTAGCCTTGGGAACCTTGCTACCCAATATGCTTGGGCACTCGTAGGACTTCCGGTGACAACAGTGATCACATCAAGCATAGCCGTTGTCATAGGTGATTTTTTTACATTTCCCTCCAAATTTTCCTATAAATAGTTAGAAATCAAAGATGTTACATTAACCACTTAGGTAGTTTGGCTTAAATTTTATGATTAGCAATGAAGCTAGAGCTTACACACGTTCATATGAAATTGTAACAGGAACTACCTTGAACTATTTCTTGGATGATCGAATCAACAAAGCCGATATTCTTTTCCTTTGCGTTGGGTGCTTCCTCGTTGCAGTTTTCCTTGGATCTGCAGTTCATTCCTCCAATGCAGCCGATAATGAAGCAAAGCTTCATGCTGCAAAACTTCTAGAATTATCCAATGGTTACCAAGATCGAACAGGGTATATATATATATATATATATAACTTCACTGGTATCTTTATAGTATGTCATTGATTGTTATACAATATCATGTGTTTTTCAAACTCTGATAGGATAATAGAGCTTTCTGTTATAGAAGAAACAATTACGTACAACGGTAAGTAGTTCATTAACTTTTGGTGCTACAATTTGGACTAACTGATTGGTAGTCCTTCTTAACATTTTCTAAGAGATCAACATTGTTAGGTCGCCTGAAGGACTTAGAAAATGGAAATATTCTAGGGAGGAAAGCAAAGGTCGGAACTGCAGACTTTCTTATTGAGCTCGAGAACAGAAGAGCAATCAAGGTTTTCCTTCCTCTCCAATTCCAAAATTGTTCAATATACATGAACTAGCTAGTCTGTCAACAATGCTTATTATTTTCGGGTTATGATAATAAACAGGTGTTTGGGAAAAATATTTTGATAGGATTGGCTATAACTTTCTTTGGTGGTGTCTGTTTCGCTCTCTTCTCACCGGCATTCAACCTGGCAACTAATGATCAGTGGCACACGTTGAGAGAAGGGGTTCATCATTTGGTCGTCTACACTGCATTCTTTTACTTCTCGATTTCTTTCTTCGTGACTGCAGTCATTCTAAATGTCAGCTTCCTCTATCATCCCCTTCTCAACTTGCCTAAATCGTCACTGAAAGCTTATCTAAGTGATTCGAATGGGAGAAAATGGGCTTTTCTGGCTGGTTTCTTGTGTGGCCTCGGAAATGGTCTTCAGTTCATGGGAGGTCAAGCTGCAGGCTATGCAGCTGCTGATGCAGTTCAGGTCAGTTCAATATCTGCTTATTGTGTGTGAGCACACTGTCCACAGTCCACACACTTGTGTGTGTATTTTCATGTGCATGTGCACTTGTTTAGTGCAATTTGACACAAACACAAATACATAGATATACACTATTTGAATCATATTGGAGTGATTTTATTTTCAGTGCCCTTTAACCATGATTGTCTAATTAATTTGTTAAAATTGAATGTCATTAGGCACTTCCACTGGTGAGCACTTTTTGGGGTATACTGTTTTTTGGAGAGTACAGAAGGTCATCCAGAAGAACTTATGGATTGCTTGTTAGTATGCTGCTTATGTTTATGGTGGCAGTGGCTGTGCTTATGGCATCGTCGGGGCATCGGAAGACATGATATTTAGAATTCCATGGTTAGGGTTATGCTTGGGATCCGTCTAGTTGGACTCAAGCTATACCTCCAACCTACCTAATTCGGTGTTGCAACTCTACTCACAATGCTTAATTTTCTTATATTTTTTAATTAGTTCATAACGTTAATATTTTAATTCAACTTTCTATATTAAATGATTTTATCAAACTTCTTCAAAGTTTCTTAACAAAATTTTCTATAAATTATCACCAAAAAAAAAAAAAAAAATCATATTTTTCATAGTGGTTATAATTATAACAGTCAATTTTAAAATTAATAATTCCAAAAATAAATTAAATTAAATTAATGGGCATTAGCTATAGGATCTCGTCCTAAGAAGAGCCTTGTTAGGGCAATATTTAGGTGTTTTAATATTTCTGGTGTGCGTATATTTTGGTTAAACTTCTTTGGAAAATAAATAAATATTAATTTTTAATAGATCAAGTGTGTAATTAAAAACACTTATACAACAATCTACCTACCACTAAATTTCACTAAAAATCTTAAATGGATAAGACATGACTTATCATTTAACACCATTTTTTTTATGGTTAAAAAAATAAAAAATCTTTAAAAATATATATATTTAAAGTATAATAAATACTATAAATTCTAAATTTTTCATTTTACCAAATTTCGTATTATCCGTATGTTACCATCAAATCTATAAATTTTCAAGATTAACAACTCTAGCTTATTTCTCTCAACTATTGCCTTCACATGGACTTTGCCTCCGTTATGGCTTGTTTGAGGTCATTTGGGGGTTGAATGGAACATTTTTGTCTTAGGCTCTGATGGGCTTAGCCCATCCGTAACATTTCTTTGGAGGTTGTTGGACGGGCTAGACTTTATAGTCTTGTGCATATTTTATATTTATATAATTGTTTGAATTTTTAATAAATAAAAAGTAAAAAAAAAAAAAAAAAGTAAGCTATATTTAAATACTGATAAAACACAATTCTAGAACATTGAGATTTCTATAGAATTGGTAAATATTTAAACGTATTTATCTATAGAGCATTGAAATTATTATTGAGTTTATAAATATCTTAGATATTTACATGAAAAGTAATGCATCTCGAGGAGAAATGAAATTCTCTTTGTATATTAGCATTCTCCTCAAGATGCATTAATCTTTTGATGAAACACATGCACAGAACTGAGTTGAGGGAGTGAAATATAACTATAAAAAAAATATATAGAATTAATACGTAAAAAAATATTTTTTCAAAGTGAACTGAGTTTACTGAGTGAGAAAAATATAACTATAAAAAAACCTGGCAACTAGCACGTAGAAGCATTCCATGGCAAAAACTTTATTGAGTGTCCTGAATTTACTCTGTATTGAGTGAGGGTGAGTGAAATTTAACTACAAAATCAGTTGGACTCAGTATTGAGTGAGTGTAAGTGAAATGTATCTTAAAAATCATTTGGGTTACTGAGTGATTCAACTGAGTGAGTAAGAGTCAAATTAAACTACAAAACAATTTGAAACAAACACGTAATAAACTATGTTGCCATCTGTATTTGAGATGTCGATGAAACAAATACCGAGTTTTTCAATTTTTAATATAATCAGCGACCAACTACCCACCATATCTAATAGTGTTCTCTCGTTCATCTCTTCTATAAGTATATGTGAAAGTATCCATCTGTCTAATGGTTTAAATATAAGCGTTCTCTCCTTCATCTCTTCTACTGGTACATCTGTATTAGAGATGTCGATGAAACAAATACCGAGTTTTTAATATAATCAGCGACCAACTACCCACCATATCTAATGGGGCTCTCTCATTCATCTCTTCTACAAGTATCTGCGAAAGTATCTCCTTCATCTCTTCTACAGGTACTGGCAATTGATCTCTTCTACAAGTATCCGTCTTGGTAATGGTGTAAGTGTAAGTGTAGGCGTTCTCTCATTTACTCTTCTACTGCGAATTGATCTCTCCTGCAAGTAATCCATATGCCTGGTGGTTTAAGTGTTTAAAATTTTGAAGGGGTGAGGGTCAATGAGTGAAGTGCAACTGTTTTTGTCACCAAATTAAAAAATTGTTTTTATTACACCATTTTTATGGTATCAGCTCTACAAAAGTTTCTATTACACAATTTTTAATAATTTTTCTGTTTCATTATTATTATTATTATTATTATTTTGTCTATTTCTTGGGTGAAAATCGCACCATCCAAAATGATCATTCATCCATACGATATTTTTAAATTGAACATTTAATTAGTATAAATATTACTTGTGTACTCTGGAAATTTTTGCTCTCCATTCTGTTGGTCATTTTATGAGGCCAAAATGTAGTTCTTATGTTGTGTTTAGAACATAAAATTGCAATATTCACCTAAACAAAACAAAATTAAAAATTAAAATATATTTAAAAAGTTGCCACTTTTTCGGATGTGTTAATTTGCAGATTTTTGTTTTTTTTTTTGTTTAGTCTGTATCCGTGATCAATTTTGAACTCTCTCTTTTCTCTATCCAATGAATATGCCCATGTGCTGGCCAAATCGGTTGTGTTTACACACCGTTTATGTATGTTGTATCTTTCTTCATCACCTTTTGTCCTTTTGTTCTTCCCAATTTGAATTTTCTTAGGCCTGTGACATCTTGGGTGTGCTAAATTTAGCTCTTTGTATACATATATATATATATATATATATATATCAAACCATAAGGCCCATTCTTATACCTTTTCACTTTTCTCTTTTAATGTGCAGATTCGTCTAATTTTCACTCCGATTTAGAGTAACCTATTTTGATTTGCATAAGTTGAAAATGTACCTGGTGGAGAGTAAGGAAGGTGCCATAGCTTGTATGCTGCTTGCACTTCTGTTGTTGGGCACTTGGCCTGCAGCTCTGACTGTCCCGGAGCGACGGGGTCGGCTTCCTCAACATACCTATCTTGATTATGCCATCACAAACGTGTTGGCTGCTGTTGCCATAGCTCTCACCTTTGGTCAGATAGGTGATAGCAAACTCATTGTGCCAAACTTCTTTACACAACTTTCTCAAGCTCAGGTGATTTCTCATTTATATGTTGTTTTCAATCATGAGTTGCATCTATTTTGGGATTCAAACTTGAAATATATGTGACTTTCTATTACGGCATGGTGATTAATTATGTGGGTATTGTCAATTATTCAATAATATTGCAAATCTGTTGAATAATTTCTAAATTATTCCAAAATTTACCCCTGATTGTGACAAGAAATCAAAAAATTTACTGTGTTTGGAACCTGCTTTTGCATTTAACCAGACAGTAAAGTTAGTTCACTTTTGGGCTTTTTGGCCTTCTCTGTTTTTGCTGATCAAACACTTTTAACTGTCTTTGAACTAAATAAAAATTTATCTTTGCTACTGTAATCTCAAAGTGAAAATTAGACTTCATTTCTTAAAAGAGATGTTAAATTGCTGACATGATTAAAGATGAACTTATAAGATTAGATAAACCAAGAAAAAGTGTGATTTATGTTGTCTTCTTGTTAATTTTTCCGATTTTTAACTGATATGCTTGATACATAATTTTATGTCATTTTCTTTGTTGTTCATGTCATGTAAACCTGTCATTTCCTAATATTTTGTCCAACTGATACATCCATCACACAGTACAATTGGCCTTGTATTTTGGTTGCCATGGCTGGAGGGGTGTTTCTTAGCCTTGGGAACCTTGCTACCCAATATGCTTGGGCACTCGTAGGACTTTCGGTGACAACGGTGATCACATCAAGCATATCCGTTGTCATAGGTGAGTTTTTTTACATTTCCCTCCAAAATTTCCTCCATCTGTATTTCTTTTCCTATAAAATTAGTAAGAAAATCAAAGATGTTACACTAAAGCTAACACATGTTCATATGAAATTGTAACAGGAACTACCTTGAACTATTTCTTGGATGATCGAATCAACAAAGTTGCTAGTCTTTTCCCTGGGGTTGGGTGCTTCCTCGTTGCAGTTTTCCTTGGATCTGCAGTTCATTCCTCCAATGCAGCCGATAATGAAGCAAAGAGTCATGCTGCAAAACTTCTAGAATTGTCCAATGGTTACCAAGATCGAACAGGGTATATTTATATATATATATTTAACTTCAATGGTATCTTTATAGTATGTCATTGATTGTTATACAATATCATGTTTTTTCAAACTCTGATAGGATAATAGAGCTTTCTGTTATAGAAGAAACAATTACATACAACGGTAAGCAATTCATTAACTTTTGGTGCTACAATTTGGACTAACAGATTGGTAGTCCTTTTTAACATTTTCCAAGAGATCAACATTGTTAGGTCGCCTGAAGGACTTAGAAAATGGAAATATTCTAGGGAGGAAAGCAAAGGTCGGAACTGCAGACTTTCTTATAGAGCTCGAGAACAGAAGAGCAATTAAGGTTTTCCTTCCTCTCCAATTCCAAAATTGTTCAATATACATGAATTAGCAAGTCTGTCAACAATGCTTATTATTTTCGGGTTATGATAATAAACAGGTGTTTGGGAAAAGTACTTTGATAGGGTTTTCTTTGGTGGTGTCTGTTTCGCTCTCTTCTCACCGGCATTCAACTTGGCAACTAATGATCAGTTGCACATGTTGAAAGAAAGGGTTCCTCATTTGGTCGTCTACACTGCATTCTTTTACTTCTCGATTTCTTTCTTCGTGACTGGAGTCATTCTCAACTTGCCTAAATCGTCACTGAATATCTAAGTGATTCGAATGGGAGAAAATGGGCTTTTCTGGCTGGTTTCTTGTGTGGCCTCGGAAATGGTCTTCAGTTCATGGGAGGTCAAGCTGCTGGCTATGCAGCTGCTGATGCTGTTCAGGTCAGTTCACTATCCACACACTTGTGTGTGTATTTCATGTGCATGTGACATAAACACAAACACATAGGTACGCACAATTTGAATCATATTGGAGTGATATTAATATCAAAATTGATCATTTGACATATACACAAACACTTAGATATACACTATTTGAATCATATTGGA